AAAAAAAATCATGTTTCATTTTTTTTTTTTACCTATTAGTCCGGCCTGTAATCCGGTTCTAGATCCATTCATGTTGTATCATTCCATCTCACGGCGACCAACTAGAGGAAAATGTTGTATGCAATATGTGTAAGATCTGTGCAAGTTATTATCGAAGCACGTCAAAGAAAAATTTGTGACAAGTTTAAAACGCAACAATATCGAGTCGATAGATGGAAATAATTATCTGCCATTCTTTTAATCCATGTTCACCATCTGGATTTGATTTTTATGAAAGCAACTGGGATTCCAACACTAACTCTTTATGGTGCATGCATATGTTTTAGGGTCAACCCAACCCTTGAACACCGTCCAAAGCCTGATTCTCCTAGCAAAATATCAAGCCTGAAATTTCTTGTGGCACTTTCAGTTCAGCTAAAATGGACTTGAAATTAGATCAATGATTAAACCACTTGGAGGAACAGTTTGACCACCACCACCTCCATCTAGATCAGCCGGTGATGGATGTGCTGGTGTTGATAATCTTCGACGCTGTAAATCCTTTGTTGTCCACATAATCAATATAAAGTGAAGACTGTGTCTGGGAGAGATTCTCCCAAACCAAAATCAATTTTTGGGTCAAATTATACGGTCCCACTTTCTTGAACCATTTCACGTGTTGTAGAGAATTTGAACAGAAAAAGATCATTTTATCCTCATCACATGTGCAAAGTCTACTGCAAAGGAGGTTAAATTGGGAAAGGGGTGTAAATGGGCTGATTATCTACTGTTAGATTTTGTCAATTAAAAAATGCCACAACGATCCAATTTTTTATTACCAACGGTCCGAATTATGATACTTAGTGCGCCCAGACACGCCCTAAATAAATTTAAAGTTTAAATGGTTGGTTAATTAACTGTCTAGCTAACTTCCCATCTGATTATTGGAGGGAAGTTATTGAAGGAAAAAACCACCCACTTCCACGATGGTTGGAAGTTGTAGTGATTGTCTTTATATATATGTCAAAGGGTCCCTAGCACAACCCGTGAAAAATTCCTACAGAATTTCTCTCTTAATATTGAAAGCCCCGTGTTTATTTTTATCAAATTAAAGGGGTTATTAAATGAGTATTGACTAGAAGACATTTAGTGCTTCGAGAACTCATTTCTTCTCCAG